CTATTCCAAATCTTGATCCTAACTTGACTATCCAAAATTCTTGTTTCAATCAACAGGGTCCTAAAGATTATCGTTTTTGGTTTTACCAATATTTTGACTCGTATAAGATTAGAGAAGAACGTATCCCATCTCTTCAAGCTATGGTTGCTATTAACTTTAAATATCTCCCTATCTTGCTCGAATGGAAATTTGATAAACTTTTCGAACTTGAACCCGTTGTCTATCATCAACTTGTTCGTATCTTCTATTGTAATGCCGTTTGTATAAAAAATCGTGACAAAACCAAAACCATAGGAGTATGTTCCTACCTCCTAGGTCAATTTTCCATCTTGATCTGGCTTACATAGCCAATGCCTTAGGCTTGGATAATGAAGGTTTATCAAATGAAAAACAAGTTTTAGGCTCTCGATATAAACGAAATGATAGTGCAAGTGTTCTAGATCTTCATGAGTGTTTTCTTCATCTCATGATCACTTGGTGGTTTCGACCATCCGGGGGTCGTTATTCTACTCTCAGAGCTTTAGATCTTTGGTTGTTGCATTGTTTTGAACACAATATAAAAAACCTTTCCGAGATTATCTTTGCTGAGATTGTTGAAACTGTTAACCTAGTGCCAAATAAGAAACTCTGTTCTTCACTAGTTTACGGTTGTATCCTTAGTAATCTCTTTTCTAAAGCCGAGCTTCGAGTTGGTATAGATGCCTCCTTTCCTCTTAAAAACAAATCAATCTTCTTTCTTTAACAAGAGTGGGATGGGTCAAAGATAAAGAAACCGGTGAATGGGTTCGATCTTCTGCAACTACTCCGGGAGCTAGTTCTTCACAAGCTCCACTCGAAGCTGACGAAGATCCAGAGTTTGAACAATTAATGAGGGATATCGATGAAGCCGAAGATGAGCCTGAGCAACCCGAGGAGCACGCACAACAATCGACTCAAATGCCTCCATATTTTCAATCCTTATGGAGACATTTGATTTCCGATATGCGACCATGGATTCGTGCTTTACTTTTATAGAGTCCCATTTATCCACAATGGGAGCTCAACAATTAGAGATTCTCCGAGAGATGCGCACAAACAACGCTTCGATGAATGAACGTATTAATGACCTCATTAACGAAATGGTCGCTATGCGAGCTCGTTTTCCTCCTCCTGATCCGGATATGTGATTAAATGTTTTACTTTGAACTCCAAACTTATTGTTTTAACATTTTGAATATTTTGGAATGTTTGAATTTGTGAATTGATTTATTGTGAATTTGTTTGGATTTATGGATGGTATGAACTTATATGTTTTGTGTGATTTATTCATTATTGCATCATTTACTTCATGTTAGATATATGACCAATTTTTCCATATCACATTAAATATGAATATTGATTATGAAGCTAATGGCTAATGTTTCTCTTGATTGTGATCTTAGCAGCTTATGCATACATATACCTAATCAATTGGCTAAATGTTTTTCACGTTTCTTTGAATCTTTTTGATTTAACAAAAAGGGGGAGAAGTGTGTGTTTTAAGTGTGTGTTTTAAAATAAGTGTGTTTTAAAATGATAAATGGGAGAAGTGTTAAAGTAAGGGGGAGTAATTTCAAAACTTGATTTCAAAATCTTAAAATTACTAAAATGTTTTGTTATATCAAAAAGGGGGGAGATTGTTGAAAACATTTTGATATTTCGATATAACAAATTAAGTTAAATGAATTTTAAGATTTTCCAAATGATTTTCTAAGTATATTCGATATAATTATTCGAATATCAAAACATTACTCCAAATATTTCAAAAATCATTTTTAATCCTTACTTAAGTGTAAAATTAAGTTTTAATCTTAAAACAATTTCAAAATAATCTTTCAAAGTATTTCGAACCATTTCAAAGCCAAAAATTCCAGATTGCTCAGAGGGAACCGATTCCCCCCCAAGGGGGGTATCGATTCCCCCTTGAATGGTTTGGCTCCGAGATTTCCAAAATGCTCGAAGGGAACCGATTTCCCCCTATTCAACGGTCGAAATATTTGAATTTTACACTTAGGGAACCGATTCCCTATGAGACGGTACCGATTCCCCCATGCTCCAAGCATTTTTAATAAATGTTTTCACACTTAAACGGTTATATTATCTTCATTAATCATCCCTAACGTTAAGAAGTGATTCAAGGTGTATTTAAGCAAGCTTAGAAGCCATTGATCAAAAACAAGAAACATCAAGCAACTAGAATCAAGAGAGAATCAAAGAGAAAGCATCAAACCTCAAGTTTGAGCATTTCAAGCCTATTTTCATTCAATATTCATTTTGCTTTCAAGAACACATATTGTGCTCAATTGTATTCATCTTTGAGTGTTCTTTTCTTTGTTCTAGAATTGTGCAAACAATCTACCTTGTGAGGATTTCCTTGTAAGTTTGCAAATTTGTATTGTTCTCTTTAGGAGAGAGTTTTCTCAAGAATTTGGGGTATAATTCTTGAGGGTTTGTAAGGTTACTCTTTGTCCTCAAAAGAAAGACAAATTAGTGAATTTGTGGAAAATCCTTAGTGTGGATAGCTAAGGTAGTGGACGTAGACTTTGATTGAGAAAGTCGAACCACTCTAAATCGCCGTGCAAATCTTTTCAATTTTCTGCAAAAGCCTCCACCGAAATTTTAATTGCCAATTCACCCCCTCTTGGCCGATTCCGTCGATCGATTAACTCAACATCACCCTTACTCCCATTAAACTTCAACTCGTCGTTTTCTCTCATCTCAAACCCCTCCCTTTCATTTCTTTCGTTTTTCCTTCCTTGACCTCACAGCCACCGTAGCCGTCGCCCTCAAAGGGCTCCGATTAGGAGCTAAAACGCCTCAAAGCCTTCCTTCTCTCATAAAACGAAGCCAAAGCCACCCAAAACCCTAAGAAACAACCCCCTCAAACCCCAAACAAACTTAAAAAAATGTTACCTCAAGCGGCTAAACAAGATTTTAGCTCCAGGGGATAATGACGCTCTTTTTCAGACGAGAAAGGTAAGTTTTTTCTCTTTTGGGGTTTTCTCCTTTCTTTTGGTACTCAATTCTTCTAACATAAAAAAGTAAAAGCTCTCTTCTTTCTTAATTTGGTTGCTGCTCGAAAAGGATTTTTCTTTTTGGCTTTGTGCTCTCTTGCTGATAGAAGATGATGATTAATGAAAAGAGGGTTCCTTTTTTCCTTTTGTGCTCTTGTGTTTATGATGCTATGTTCCTGATGAGATTATGAGGATATCCATCCCCTTTTTTGTTTTATGTTCTTTCTCTTATCTCTTCTAAAAAATGCCCCTTTATTTTTTTTTATTTTGCATGCACCAGACGAGGAGCAATGAGTTTTTCGTCGTTTATCCCTCCGTCCCCTACCACTTTCATGGCAGAGAGAATGTGGCAGGGGATATACGGTGCTGATGCAGACATAGAGGTCAGACGCGTGGGAGTTTAGAGCGACGCGCGTGCATCCAATGTGCGAATCTGGACGATTGAACTTCGTTGATGGCGACTACTAGTGAGGTATCATTTAGGTACAAAACCCTAATACCTTTGGATTGATCTAGGCCATCAGATTCGTTCCTAATCTGACAACTATCGTTTGGAGGCGGTTGGAGACTCTCTTCCAAAACCCTAACTCCATTTGGTTCTAGCTTTGGGCTCCTAACTGATCGGGCTTACTTCAGTTGAGCTTTAGTGGTTGTTTGGGTCACTTTTCCTTGTAATTGCTTTGGGCTTTATGTAGTTAATTTTGGACCTGTAAAATGAAATTAATAAAATCAGTGCTCTTTAAATTCCACTAATATTTATGTGTATATATATATATATATTCGATTTAATTACTTATAATATATTTATATGTATATAATAATAATCACATACACCCATAATATATATATATATATATAACCACACGCATGGCTAATAATAATATTATATGTAATCATAATTAATAGTAATAATTATTAATAAGTAACCCATATATAATTAAACACACACATATATATATATATATATTCACAGAACTAATAATAATATAATATAAATTATGTGCCTATATAATATGCACCCTACATATATGTAATTAAATAATTAACCTAATAAATCCTTATATTTAAACTAACTAATAAGATATATATATTTTTGAGGCAAAAGCCCTTATTCAATTGATAATTGATTTAGATTGATCCTCTATTATTATTGAAAGTGATGTTGGTAATGTAGTTCATCAATTGCTTCATTCGTGACTCCATGTGTAGGTAATAAACTTCTACTTGGATAAAGCGTGTAATCCACTGTTCGCTCGCAAATACATTCGAATTCAATCTGTTCGTCGCACTACCAATGATGTTGCCATGTGTTAACACAATGCGTCTCTACTCAAACTTCATCGTTTATATTCTATTTATGATAGTTCGTCTATAATTTCGAACAGTGTTTTTTATTATGTGATTTCCGACTAAAGTAATATATTTCCTTTTTTCTTAGAAAAAACAATACATATGATTCAACATTAATCAAGTTGTTATTATAATATAAACTTGAGGGGGGCCCAACGTTTGTGTTTTTGAAATTTTAAGGATATATATTTATACGTTCGCTTACCAACAAACATAACGGATTAAGTTAAGAGAGATTTGATTTTTTGCTGAAAAAGGGAGAGTCAGTGATTCACTAAACCTCTACTTCTTCATATAAATAAAACATTTCAACTTCGTATCGCACCCCACTTCGACCAACACTGCACTCAAATATTTTCAGTTATATGGCTGACCCTATCCCTTTGTTCATTTACCCATCTATTTTCCTTATTCTCTTTTTGGCTTCCATCAATCACCGCTACCATCTCTACTCTTTTTCTTCTCATTTATGGAATCGCACTGAGATTTCCCCACAAAATTCTTCTCACTTTCCAAACTCTCCGACTCCAAGTTCTGCTCCGATTTTTCATAATGGAATTAGCTTTGTAAGTAATGATGTCAGTTCGATTCAGATTCTGAAAGCATTATGGTGGTTTTTAGTTTTTACATTTAACTTTTGGGTTGTTATTTTGTTTTAACAGGCGCAGAAGAAGAGACAGATTGAGATTCTGAAAGAAGGGTTGGGGAGGGCAAGAAAGGCGATACGAGCGGCATCTCGGTCTCGGAGGTGTACTTCGAACGGGCCGGGGAGTTACGTTCCCAAGGGATCAGTTTATAGAAACCCTTGCGCTTTTCATCAGTTAAGAAATTTCCCATTACCTTGTCATACATTAACTTTTCATTCATTTGAAGAAGAACCAAACGGAAAGTGCCCTTTCAACTTCACTGCTTAATGCAAGTTTAGTTGCGACATTAGTTCTTGCATTTAGTTGCATTGGGATATTGGACCATGTGAAAACATGATTACAATCAAGGTTATATTTCATCTAACCATTTAAGCCCGAGATCTTCAGTTGAAAGTCGGAAGAACGGCTGAGAACGCCTTTGATTAAGCCCATATATGGGTTCGGACTTTTTGCTTTCCCCAATCACTAAGTTGGTTAAACCTTTGGTTGTCGATATTACAAAAGTCTGTATATTCTTTTATACCCCAAGCATTATCAATTTCGAGATGGTCCCCAGTTTCTATAACGAAATGAAAACTGCATGTTCCATTTTCAATACGTATGAGTTATTCCTTCAATTGTCAAACATGCCATGAAATGAAATCCCAAACGATCTTTTCCTTATTTCATACATGTTTTTTTTTGGTTACTTAAAAGTTAATTATGATTCCATGAATCGGTTTAGCTAATCTAGTTTATGCATAATTCAGGAGCCACGTCGAGATGCAGAAGCGATTCAGAGTGTGGCCATACAAGGAAGGAGATGCACCGCTCTTTCATAAAGGTCCAGTAAATGATATATACTCAATCGAGGGGCAATTTATTGATGAACTGGAGAGCGATATTTCACCATTCTTAGCTCTAACCCCTGATGAGGCCCTTGCATTTTTCCTCCCCGTTAGCGTTGTGAATATTGTAAAGTATGTTTACAGGCCGTATACGAATTATTCTCGTGAGCGCCTTCAGAACATCGTAAAGGACTACATTGGCATTGTATCAACCAGATATCCCTACTGGAATAGAAGCAATGGAGCCGATCATTTTATGATCTCTTGCCATGATTGGGTATATAATATGTATTTTTTTTTTTTGCTCAGCATATAATATGTATTTTACTTTACTGTACACACACTCGTTACTTATATTATCAGTTGGTTCATTTCTATGATCAAAATGATTGTTTTCAGGCACCGGATGTTTCAGCAGCGGATCCGAAGCTTTTCAAGCATTTCATTAGAGTTCTTTGCAATGCTAACTCCTCTGAAGGATTCAAGCCTGAAAGAGACGTTTCACTGCCGGAAGTGTACCTTCGTTATGGGGAGCTGGGAAAGCCTCGAAAGGGCCAACACCCAAACAACCGTTCGATTCTAGCCTTCTTCGCAGGTGGCCAACATGGGAACGTGAGGAAAATGCTTTTCAAATATTGGGAGCAAAAAGACAATGACATTAGAGTATTTCGATACCTCCCCAAAACCCTAAACTACACTCAACTAATAAGCCAAACTAAGTTTTGCCTTTGCCCTAGCGGATACGAAGTTGCAAGTCCGAGAGAGGTTGAATCTATACTTGCCGGTTGTGTTCCGGTGATTGTTTCCGATCACTATGTGTTACCGTTTAGCGATGTTCTCGACTGGAGTAAATTTTCCGTTCATGTTCCCATCGCAAAGATACCAGAGATCAAAACAATACTGCAAGGGATTTCTGAGAAAGAATATTTGAAAAAACAAAGAAGGGTCCTCGCCGTGCAAAGACATTTCGTGCTCCATCGACCAGCTAAACCATATGATATAATGCATATGGTGATGCATTCAGTATGGCTTAGGAGGCTTAACAGAGGATTGCCAAATTAATATATTTTGCATATAAATTATGAATATGTAGGTGTAAATCACAGTTATAATATATATGTACTTTTTAATAATGAAAAATTTTGTTCTATCTTCCTTTTCTTTTTAAGTGTAATTTTGTTCTATCTTTTCTAAAAGAATTAAATCCTACGTTACAAGAGAAACGAAGAGATAAAAATTATATTTTATATATACTTTAACTAAAATATTTTTAATGAAAAATATTTAATTTAAGCACTGTATAAATAATGCCAGAATCCATTTATGTGTTTAGGCGAAATTTTTTAAAATATTACATAATTTTAAAATGTCAATATTTGTGATTTTTATTTAAATATATAATTATTATATAAAAATTTAAGCTTATTAACATTTTTTAGTTTAAAATAATTATAAAAGCAATAATATTAACAAAAATAATATAAAAATATGCAAATAAATTGAAAATATAAAATATATAGAAAAATTATTAAAATTACATAAAATAATATTTTTGAAGTTTAAAATTAAAGATGTTAAAAAAATCCACTGGCAACTTATATTTATTTTAAAGAATTATTATAATTATTTATTCTCATAATTTATACATTTGTGTATTGTTAACCTGTTACCTCGCTACCTCGTAAAAATAACAAGTTAAGAGAGATTTTAAGTTTTAATGTTGAAGTTTCAAAATAAAATAATAATGATATTAAAATGAAGGTTTATATTACACATAAATATTTAAAGTATATCATTTTTATTTAAATATTTAAAGTATTTTTTTATCAAACATAAATATTTAAAGTTATATTTTTGTCAAAGCATGTATTTAAAGTATTTTTTGGTCAAAAATAGGTACATAAAGTATTCAACTTTTTTCAATTAAGTATCTAAAGTATTCTTTAATTAATATCACATGTCAAATTTTTAAAAACTTATATGAAAAAATAAATACTTCTTATATATACTTTAACTAAAATATTTTAAATACTTAAATGAAAAAATATTATACTTTATGTACTTATTTATGATATAAACCTAAAATATATAAAAAAAAGAATAAAAAATATATAATAACGTCAAGATAAATTATATTATAAAACATGTAAAAAATTGAATAATATGTATAATATTTCTTAAAATTTTATAATTATAGACAAATAAGTAATTTTACCACTCCCTCAAACGGGTATTTAAGTGGGCAACACGAAGGCAGGCCAAAGGCAAATAAAACTTTCTCCGCCCGCGACGCCTTCTCTAATTTTACTATGTAGAAATCGCCGTTTTCCCTCGCTTTTTTCCTTCATAATTTGCTCGAGAAAATGGATCGCGGTAGCACACTATCCAAACACATTGTTTCTAATTGATCATCAAAAAAGCTTTCCTAACATGGCGAGTTGCTGTAGATATTCAGTGTCGGCTTTCACGTTGCTATGCCTTTGTGTTTTCACGTTCCTCGTGGTTTTCTTTAACTACAATCATTTCAATTCCTTCATGATCTTCTATGCTCCAACTCTTGAATCACCAGGAGCAAAATTTGAGTTGCAGAGACTAATCGTTTCTACTTCTGGTCAAATCAGAGCCGTTAGTTCCAGCGGATCAACTGATGATTATCATCACCTCAACCGAACCAGCACCGTTATAGTAAAACTTTCTATCTCCCTCCTCTCTCTCTCTCTCTCTCTCTCTCTCTAACGGATTGAGGGAAAAAAATCGTTACCTCATACTTTGATCAATCTTAAAGACAAATGCCGATATCAGTATCTTAAAAAGAGATTTAATGTTTGATAATTCTTCTTCCATCTCACTTCAATTTTGTTCCTATTTTCTTTCTTAATATAAAAAATTATTAACGGAAAATGATTAATTATATGTTATCGTTTCATTGCAGATAGAAACGAAGAAACGAAGCAGAGAACAAGTTTTAGAACAAGTACTAACCAGAGCTCAGAGCCGTCTTGTAAATTTTAGTAGCCCTATGCCATAACTTTAAAATAGGCCTTTTAAAACTAAAATATTAGATATATAAAGAAGTTCACTAATATTTCAAAATTTATTATAATTATAAGAAATGTTAAATAGTCGTAAAAAAGATCTTCATGTAATAAAGTGAAATACAAAGTAACTATTCTCTAAATAAATTCGTTCTCCTAGCATTTTTAGAAGCAAAGTTATTGACTAGCTCTTTATAATCAAGACTCTCCAATAGATCGTTTTCAATAACTATCAATGACAATTCATTAAGTCTCTCTTGTGACATTGTGGACCGCAAGTAAGACTTCAATAACTTCAGTTTTGAAAAACTTCTTTCTGCAGATGCCATCGTTACTGGAATAGTCAATAGTACTCTAAATGCAATTATTGCATTAGGAAAACAATCGACCTTTTTCATAAATTTTAAAACATCAGTAGGTCTCATATTTTCAGCTGGCAAGAAATTGTTAAGTAATCTTAGCTCCACATAGAATTCATTTGCATCAATATCTGATTGTCCGTTTTTCTTGAGTGCATCTTCAAGATGACAACAACATGACTTAAGGTGGTTGCCATCAAAGAACTTCAACTTGTCACAAGAGAACAAGAAACCACAATTTTTCTCGTACTCTTTGTATTGTTCAAACCTTGTTGTAAGAGAAGCAATTGCCTGATCAACAATATACAAGAAGTAGTTGACTTTAAATGATTCCTCTGCAGAAAAAGAAGCATCTTGATTAATTGAACTCTCGTCAAATTGTCTTTTCCTACGAATTACACGTCTTTGAGGGAAGACAGGATCAACATCCATTTCAGTTGCAATTTGCTTAGCAATATCGACAGCTTTCGAGAACCCCGTGTTTCTAAACTCCTCAAAGAAAGAGATCAAACCTTTCACTTCTTTAATAGCAACATCAATAAGCATATCTTTGGATTGTAAGTTTTTGCTCACTAAATTTACGGTATATAATATATCGAACCAAATGACAATCGAAACTAAAAACTCAAAATCGCCAAGCTCATTTGTTGCTAAAGATTTAGCTTCACTTTTTATTTTGGAATCATTATCGTTCTCTGCAACTTGAAGTAAAGCTTCTCTTACTTCCACAATTTGAAATCTAATAGCTTTGACACTATCAACACGACTTTCCCAGCGTGTGGTTGACAATGACTTAAGTGTCAGTCCTTGAACATTATCCTTCAAAATTTGCCACCTTTTAGAAGAATTGGAAAATATGGTGTATATGTGTTGTATTACTCCAAAAAAATCTCTTGCTTTTCCACAAGTATTAGCCATGTCACATAATGCTAGATTAAGACTATGACAACCACAAGAAGTATAAAATGCTCTAGGATTTATATCTAGAAATTTCTTTTGTACTCCCTGATGTTTACCTTTCATATTCGATCCATTGTCATAGCCTTGACCACGTATATCATCAATATCAAGACCAAGTGACTTCAATTCATCTTGTGTTGTATCAAAAAGTCCCTGACCAGTGGTATCATTAACATTTAAAAATCCTAAAAAGGATTCCTCAACACTGACACTTGTGGATGAGAAATTTACATACCTCAATATCAAAGTCATTTGTTCCTGATGATTGGAATATGGGGTATAATCAAGTATCACTGAGTAATACTTTGCTTGCTTAACTTTTTTTATGATATCTTATTTGATTGCATGTGCAAGTAAAGTTATTAACTCATTTTGGATTGTATGACCGAGATAGTGAACATGGATGTTATCACTTGTGATACGTCTCACGTGCTCTTTAATAACTGGGTCAAACTCTTCCAGCATTTCAATTAAACCCAAAAAATTTCCGTTGCTCTTTTAATACAATTTCTCGTTCGATCCACGGAAAGCTAAATTATGTTTAGCAAGGAACTTTACAATTGAAATAATTCTCTGAAGAACTTTCTTCCAATGATCACTAAATTTTCAAATTGTTCTTGTGCCACTTTATCAATTGTTTCATTTTTTTTTAATCTCTGACGCATATCAATCAAGCCAAGTAGTCATGTTTGTGACATGTTCTAGGCCAACTTCATGCTCTTTAAGTCTGGTGCTAAGATGTTGCCAATCTGCAAAACCGTCATTAGCTAACTGACCTTTTGCAAGCCCTTTCCTAAATATTTTACAACAGAAACAAAAAACTCTGTCAAGCTCTTTGGAATATACTAGCCATTCTCTATCCACCTTCTCATTGTTTGGGAGGATTCTAGTATATAAAGCGGCAGAAAATCGTCTTGAAAATTTATCTTTAGGACCTTTCTCAAATTACATATCTCTTTTAGGACCCTATGATACCAAACTTTAATCATGTCAGAACTAAGATCATCTCAACGTCTCGGATCAAATATATCACATGATTAACATCAACATTAGCATCATCAACATGGTCATTATTAACATCATCCGCACCTTCACCATCAATATCGCCATCATCGACATTAGCATTATTAGCATCATCGACATTAGCATTATTAGCATCATCAACATCTTCGCCATGTACATCAACATCATTATGTGAGGTCAAGTATATTTACACGCCTCTTAGTTTCAACGTTACTCCTCTTAAGCAGTTTGTTTCAGATTATGTGAAAGTGATATCCACCAAATATCCATTTTGGAATCGAACTCATGGCGCTGATCACTTCATGCTTGTTTGTCATGATTGGGTCAGTTTATCTTTCTCCTTTCTTATTTTTCATTCTTTCTTTTTTGCATTAATTATATTACAACCATTTATATAACCGACCGACTAAACATAGGTAATAATTCGGTATTATCACGAAGTATGTCATAAGTTATACTATATCGCTTCATGCTTCATTTGCAGGGGCCTCATGCATCAAAAGGAAATTCACTCCTCTACAACAATTCAATTCAGTGTCACCTCCGAAGGCTTTAATCCACAAAAGGACGTAAGCCTTCCCGAGATCAGCCTCAACGGTGGCTACTTTTCCCCTAAACTCATCCACCCACGGCCGTGCAATGCTTCTAGACCATATCTCTCTTTTTTCGCCGGCGGTCTTCACGGCCCAATCCGCCTGTACCTCCTCCAACACTGGAAAGGCCGAGACGATGACATGCAGGTTTACGAATACCTCCCGAAAAACAAAGACTATTACTCCTACATGTTGCAATCAAAATTTTGTCTATGCCCAAGTGGGTATGAAGTTACCAGTCCAAGGATTGTTGAGGCCATATACTCTGAATGTGTGCCTGTTATTTTGTCGGATAACTATGTGTTGCCTTTCAGTGATGTGTTGCGGTGGGAGGCTTTCTCGGTACAGGTGGAAACAACAAAGATTCCTGGATTGAAAGAGATTTTATTGGCAATTCCGGAAGAAAAATATCGGAAACTTCAAGAGGGTGTGAGAGTTGTGCGTAGACACTTTATGTTAAACCAACCTTCTAAGAGATTTGATATGTTTCACATGATATTGCACTCAATATGGCTTGGGAGAATTAATGCAAGACCCGAATAGATCTTAATTCTTTTCAAATATATAATAGCCACATTTTATGCACATGGGTTAATTTTCTTTCAATTTAATTTTTCCGTCAAAATTGATTTTAAAAAAATTATTTAATATATAAATAGTGTAAAATTCAGACTCTTCAATCTTAACTATTTAAATCTTAAACTCTAACATAAAAATTCTAAATTTACTGTAAATCTTAAAATTGTAAATCCTAAATGAATGGTTCAACTATATAACATTATAGAACCAATAACTAGTTGGTCTAGTGGGATGTGTCATTTGATTTTTTAAGTAAGGTCAAAAATTTGAATACTGGTGTTTGATAATGAAACAAATTGAATTAGGAGGGTTGCTCTTGCCTCTGTATTATCCGGTCTGGATTAGTCGGTTAATAGATTGATACCAGTGATTAATTCAAAAATATTATAGAGTCTAAATTATATACAATACGGGTATTAATTTTTTATAATAAATATTTATGTATTTTTAATATATATATATATATATATATGTATAAATGTATGTGTTTTATTATTTATTATCATTTGATTGATAATAAGTTATACATGAAAGAAGAAGAAAAGAAGCACTTATAAAGGTGGATAATTCCTGCTTTTTGTGATTTACTTCTCAATGCCGAAAGTTTATTTCTGAATTGAAAATTGATATACATACTTGGAAATGAAGGTTAGTAAACAAAAAATATAAATGATTTTGCGTGTTACTTTTTAACATCAATTATGTAATCGTATGGACAACTTCACTTTGTTTTATCTTTAATCATAAAAGCATCATTAGGATTATTCATAAATAAATGGCGTTGAGAGATATAAAAGTGCAAGGATTGAAGCCGAAGCAAGTATGTAATATTAATAATCACTTCCGTTCGTGAACTCTTTTTCTCCTTTTTCAGTTTTAGATTATTTGAAGAAAGTTTTAAGAGGAAGCATCCTACCACAGAAATTGGGTCGATCGAAAAGCTATATTGGGGGAGGTTTCGCTGTAAGGCAGTTAAAATTCGGCTAATAAACGGCATGATTGGTTAAAAGTGCTACCAAAAATATTATAATTTTTTATCGGAAATATTATTTGTGTTAATAATAATGGTAATAACCGGAAATGTTATATTGTATGTAATATGGGGGAACTATTGACTTTAATAATTTTGGTTAATTACTTGAAACACTATCAACCGTAGCGCCTAAAATATTATAAGTGATAATAAAATAAGTTAATGACTTATTTTATTATTAATATTATCAGCATATTAGGTTGGGCCTAATATATTATGAGAGTTTAAGCTGATGGAGCCTTAGAAATCTCACAATAACAAAATAATTTAATTACTTATTTTTTATTTATTAATATTATCAACATATTAGATTGCGCTTAAAATATTATCAAATTTTAAGTTGATTGGCCTTAGAAATCTCACGACAACAAAATAAGTTAATATTTATTTTGTTATAAATAAATATTAACATATTAGGTTGCGCTCAATAATGTTATTGTGAATAA